TTCTACTTTGTTTTACTGTACTTTGTGTTCCCTCAGGATTATTCGCAGACCCCTCCTTGTCGAGAGTTACTTGCAAAGGATCTTCATGGAAATGAATGGAAGTTTGGGCACATTTTTCGAGGTGGGTTATCAAGAACAGTATTAGTATGTCAATAGTTCCATATTTTTCTTAAATCGATTTCTTAATATGTTTCTTCTGCTGTTGCTATTACTCAAAGTTGGATATATGTTATATTCTAGTCTTCTAGGTGACATGTCTTTTCCCTTTCAACTCTCTATTAAACACTTAAGCTAATACATCAGATACAAGAAATACTCATTTCTGTCACCATATATCGCAATCTTCCACAAAGAATTAAATATGTAGTTTACTAAGCTCAAAAGGTAATGGTAGCAGCCTTTTGTTGCTATTTATTGTGTTTTCCCCATGTTTGGTTATATTGGGATAAGGTGAAAAGCAAGGTGTCATTAAATGCAATAGTTGTTTCTTTAACCATCTATATATATATAAAAAGAATTAACATTTTTTAAAATTAGTAGGTCAAATTTTGATCAAATCTCAATTAGCATTAATTACATTCCATACTTAGTAACTTTTTTTTTAAAAAAAAAAATCAGCATTAAACACTACCCTAAAATTATGGTATTTGTTACTTTTCTTTCAAAAAATCGTGCTACCTTAAAGAAACAATATTACATATCATAAATTTTTGGCTAACTAAAGTGTTTCGTTTGGAAACTATTATATTTTAATTAAAACTAATTACGGATGATTTAATCTTGAAATGGTACAACAATTTTATATTTTTAATGTGCACCCTAAATTTATATATTTTGTGGATTTAATTTAAATAAATTTCGACTGATGCAAAAGTCAATTTTCTTTCTCTATTTTTATTAAAAAAACCGGATAAAATAAAATCAAGAATTTCGAATTAGGCAAAATACTATCACATATCATTTACTAATTGCAACAAATCAATTATTTATTATAAAAATCGGATTGCATAGTTGGCATGACAATTTTGTAAAAGTCAAAATTCTTTCATTTTTTATTAAAAAAATTTGTTTACCATACAATCGAGAATTTTGAATTAGACAAAACACTATAACAAGTATCTTTACCTAATTGAAGCAGATCATGTTTATTAAAAAAATCAGATTACATAATAATCGGGCCAAATTTCAAATTAAAATTTAAAAATCTATCATTATTTGATTACTACTTTATTTAATTCGGACTTTTTTTAAAAATAAAACAAAGTCATATAATATTAATTTGAAATTCAAAATGAAATCGGATTGTAACATCCTAAAAATTTGGGTTTTGTTTAATTATCTAGAATACAAATTTGAAATTGATTGAATACACTTACAAAATAAATAATGATTTCATACACTTACAAAATATCGTATATATTCTGCTAAATAATTTAATCGATTTATTTAAGACTATATACAATCTTAATATAATTTGTGGCGATAGACGATGTACCAAAAGACCAAACAAATAACTTTGTGTACAATGATATGTTTAATAATATATAACGTTACATTGTGTTTCATTTCAATACATGTATTTTACGTTCTTCCAATCATCCTAATTTAACTGCTTACCTTAATAAAACTAGCTCGTGCATCGCACGGGTACCACACTAGTTGGAAAAATTCTCCAAACGCCTTGAATTGAATCTTTGAAAGAATCTCCAGTATTGGGAATGAATCTAGTGGGTTTAGTTCCATAATTGGGTGATCAACTTATGAAACTACAATTTCATCCTTTAGTTGATGATGAAATAAACTGCCGGTGTGCAGGTCAGCCTAAGAGGCATCTCCTTACAATGGGATGGAGTGTGTTTGTGAGTGCAAAGAGACATGTTGCTTTCTCAGATGAACATGACAGATCCAAACATATCAACTCCTGATTATCTATGAACATGTTTTGTTATCAGATGAACATGTAGCTTTCTCAGATGAACATGTTTATTAACGCGATGAATATGTTGATTTTGTACAAGATGTATATGTTGATTTTGTAAGTAATATGTTTCTTAACATTATGAATATATTTCCTTGTAAGATGAACATGTTATGTTATAAGATGAATATGTTTTATTATCAGCTGTAGATGTTAAATTATAAGATGAACATGTTTCTTTTTCATATGAACATGTTTATTAACACGATTTTGTACGTAATATGTTTTTAACATGACGAATATATTTAATTGTAAAATGAACATGTCAAATTATCAGATGAAGGTGTTATGTTATAAGATGAATATGTTTTATTATCAGTTGAATATGTTAAATTATAAGACTTAAAATATTTGAACTTTGTCATTCAATAATTAACTAAAAATATCAGGATTATTATCACTTTATTTGAGTCACTGATTTTCAAGATGGCCGCGAAATAAATAGTGACTATTAAAACTTTAATGTATTAAACATTTTATTTATTGATAATATATTAAGATTCTTAAATGATTTATGGTTTCTTAATGAATTGAGAGTTTATTTGCGCATAACTATCCTATCAAATAAGATAACTGCTTCAGTAATATTTATTTAATTTGTGAAATGAATATGTTTCTTTGTAAGATGAACATGTTATTTTATAAGATGAATATGTTTTATTATCAGTTGAATATGTTAAATTATAAA